CCATGTTAAATTCAAAGCTTGCCTGGATTCGTTGTCGTGAACTGAACATCTTGTGGAGCATGGCAACATCGACCTAAGGTCGACCTTGCTTCCTAACTACCGCTTTTTCCAATCGGTTGGCCCAGATGCTGATCCCCCTTGCCCATGCTGCTGGCTCTTGAGGCGCTCCCGCCGGCACTGCACACAGGACAATCTTCGCCCAGTGGATCATACTGCTCTGCCTCAGGATAAGCCAGCTCTGCTCCACTTTGCACTTTTTAATGCAAGATCACTCAACAATAAGACTTTGGTTCTTAATGACTTTATTTCCACGCATAACTTGGAAGTGTTTTTCCTCACTGAGAACTGGTTGACACATGGCGATAATAACCTGTTTTCTGAGCTCCTTCCGACTGGATATTCCTTTTTTAACACTCCGTGCCCTGTTGGCAGAGGCGGATGGGCGTCTGTTTTTAAGCCTACTCTAAAATGCCACCTCCACCCCTTTAAGATCTTTTCCAGCTTTGAGGTACAAATTTTTGTTTTAGTGCTGCATTGTCCTACCTTATGTGCAGTGGTTTACTGCCTGCCTAAATCAAAGGATTTTGTCAACGAATTTGGGGAACTCTTGGCGGAGCTTATCCCACAGTCTGACAGTTTTCTGATCTGTGGCGATTTTATCATCCACGTTGACTGTACCTCTGACCAGCTAGTGAATGATTTGAACTCCCTATTGGACTCTTTTGATCTCTCCCAATCAGTAGTTTGCCCCACTCATCAACGTGGGGGCACACTTGACCTCGTCATCTCACGAGGATTGTCTGTGTGCATTGGGGATGTATCAAATATGGCTATTTCTGATCATTTCTTCAGTCCATTTCGAGGTCCTGGTCCCGTTAAGTGCACCTGGACTTACGACCCTACGTCAGCGTTGCAGGATTTTTTTCTGATCTGTGGCGATTTTATCATCCACGTTGACTGTACCTCTGACCAGCTAGTGAATGATTTCAATTCCCTATTGGACTCTTTTGATCTCTCCCAATCAATAGTTTGCCCCACTCATCAACGTGGGTGCACACTTGACCTCGTCATCTCACGAGGATTGTCTGTGTGCATTAGGGATGTATCAAATATGGCTATTTCTGATCATTTCTTCATCCATTTCGAGGTCCTGGTCTCGTTAAGTGCACCTAGACTTACAACCCTACGTCAGCATCGCAGGATTTTTACTCCTTCAATGGCCTCTGATTTTGCTGCTGCCTTTGTGGTCTCTGACTTTTATTCTTCAGAAGCTCTGAAGCCTCCTATGTGCCCTGACGTCTTTCTCTCCACATTTGACTCTACATGCTCCCGGATTATGGATTCCATCGCACCCTTCAGGAAGAAGATAGCTAGAATCACTCCTGCCCCATGGTTAAATGGCGCCACCCATGCATTGCGGAGACGTTGCAGGCAGGCTGAGTATAGATGGAAGAAGGATGGCATGCACATTTCTCTCCTTATTTGACTCTACATGCTCCCGGATTATGGTTTCCATCGCACCCTTCAGGAAGAAGATAGCTAGAATCACTCCTGCCCCATGGTTAAATGGCGCCACCCATCCCTGCCAGGATAATTAAGGAGGCCATTGACATTGTTGGACCCTCCCTGGTCACATTTGTTAACAGCTGCCTCAGGTTGGGCAGTGTCCCCTCCGCCCTTAAGCATGCCACAGTGAGACCTCTCCTTAAGAAGCCTAATCTTGACCCCACTCTTCTGTCCAATTTCTGCCCAATTTTTCTTCTGCCGTTTTTATCCAAGATTTTGGAAAAAATTGTTCTTTCCCAGCTACAGTTTCATTTGGAATGCCTGATGTTGCTGAAAATTTTCAATCAGGTTTTAGGCCCTGTCACAGCACTGAATCTGCATTACTGAAGGTCCATAATGATACTACTCTGGCCCTCGATGCCAAGCGCCCTGTTATTTTAGTTTTCTTTGATCTATCGGCAGCGTTTGATACCGTTGATCATGCAGTTCTTCTCTCCCATCTGGAACATAATGTTGGCCTGAGAGGCACGGCCCTAAATTGGTTTACTTCTTTCCTAACGAATAGGACCTTCTTTGTTGTTATTGATGACAGCCCCGCTTTCTTCCGGCGTCCCCCAAGGCTCAATTCTGGCCCCTTTACTCTTCTCTTTATATATGTCTCTACTTGGCTCAATCATTTCACAGCACAACGTTCACTTTCATTTTTATGCGGATGATGTTCAGATTTATATCCAATATGATTCAAATGCCCTCATCCCGTTGCATAACTGCCTTTGTGATATTAAACATTGGCTATCACAGTATTATTTGACAGTAGCCTCAGATTTGACAAGCAGATCAGATCTGTGGTCAAAACCAGCTTCTGTCACCTGAGGCTTTTAACCAAGGTGAAGCCCTTCCTGTCGCATGTGGATTTAGAAAAAGCCATTCACGTTTTCATCACTTCACGACTTGATTACTGCAATGCCTTTTATATAGGAATCAACCAATCTCTACTTCGGAAGCTTCAAGTGGTACAAAACGCTGCAGCCTGTCTACTGTCAAATACTCCTAAGTATGCCCACATCACCCCTGTCCTTCACTCGCTACACTGGTTGCCAGTGCAGTTCAGAGTTGATTTCAAGGTACTATTACTTGTGTTTAAGGCTATTAAAGGCCTCGCTTCACCATACCTGTCTGACCTGTTGTCCATTCACACTCTGCATAGGGCTCTATGCTCCTCGGAGCAGGTGTCCTTGGTTGTCCTGCGGACAAGGTATAAAAAATGGGGTGATCGTTCATTTGCCGTATATGGCCCTAGGCTATGGAACTCCTTACCGCCAGAGTTACAGTCCATAACTGAGCTATCGTCTTTTAAGTCAAAACTAAAAACTCATCTGTTTTGACAGGCTCTCGGTGTCTAACGGGCTCCAGTGGCATCATGTCGATGGCTTTTATTCTTTTGTCTTACATTTATACTTTGATATATAAGTCTCCCATTAGCGTTTGATATTATACTGTGCGCTTTTATTTTGTTCTTGGTTTTATTGCTTATGAAGCCGGTTTTATACTCCTCCGGAGTTCTAAAGTGCTATACAAATAAAGTATTATTATTATTATTATTATTATTATAACAAATTTTGTTTGTGTCATTTGTGATATCTCAGCAGAGTGATTTCCAACTCCCTCATTTATGGCAATGAAAATAAAATGAAATGTTGACTTAAACCTCTCTCTTTAATGATATCAGGGCACCAGCTGCTGAAACCAGTTGTCTTCACAAAGTAGCCTACCAGCTGTTATGCATTTGAGCCCATTGAACTCATTAGGCTAATTGAAACTGTCAGGTAGCTTACCTTGGCTAGACCTATATAAATGTCAAAGCTTTCTTGGCCAAATTTGCATGGTCACTAACCAAATGAATCCTAACACAGTAGCAAGTGCCCTTGCAACATGATACAGGAGTGAGAATACCAACATTCCCAATGCAGGACAGCAGGTCTGCATCTTATTTAAGGTAATCATCACAGAAATGTAATGCTCAAGTAAAATTTTGAAATTATCTTCACATTTTCAGAAATGTGATTCCATGTGGGTATTAACAGTCTGTTATTTTGCAGATTCCCCATGCATCTAAACACACACACTTTAATGTCAGCACGCCAGTCCTCGATGTGTCCTTTGATGGCCAGAAGGACCTCATGTTTGACTACAGACTACTCCGATGGTCTACTAAGGCTTAGGTCATGCAAGGTGCACACTCTGATGAAAGTGTGCCATTTGGTACATGGCTTATCCTGCAGTGTGGTGTCTCAGGCCTTTTATTCTCCCAAGTCTGCAGATTGATGCACACTGGAGTAGGGAAGATTGCAGCTTTTTGCCAGGAGGTCAGCAGACTGGATGAGGTTGGCCAAAAATGTACAGAGCTGGCCAACAGTCCAGTGTTCTCCAGGTGTGTGGGTGCCATTGATGAGTGCCATGTCCAAATCAAGACTCCCACTAGGACCCCACGGCCAGGATTACCTCAACAGAATACTCTTCCCTTTGATACAGTTGCAGGGAGTATGTGATGGAAAGGGCCTTTTTATCAACACATTTGTCGGGCATCCTGGCTCTGCCCACCAAACCAGAGTCCTGAAGAACAGTATGATCTATAGGGAGACTCTGTATCCTCCCCCAGGTAGGACTAGGATAAATTCCTAATGCATCAATATCTAGATATAACCATGACAGCATTCAAATCAAATCAGTATGTTTTATCGCGTTTATATCTGGCCCTTGGAACATCTAAAAGAAACTAGCTTGAAGATCTGAGGGACCTTGTAGGTTTGTGCCAATGCACTAATTCAGTGAGGTAAGACAGTGCCAAACCATTAAGAGCCTTAAAAACATAAATTAACAGTTTAAAATAAATTCTAAAATAGACTGGAAGCCAGTGCAGAGAAGCCATAACTGAGATTATATGCTGTAATTTTCTGGTACTTGTCAGAAGATGAGCAGCAGCATTTTGAACCATCTGAAGATAAGAGGGAGGACTGGTTAACACCATAGTATAGAACATTGCAATAGTCAAGGCGAGAGGTGATAAAAGCATGGATTGTAATCTCAAAATCATTCAAAGAAAGGAATGACTTCACTTTACTTAACAACCTGAGGTGGAAGAAGCTAGATTTCACAACTGAGCTGATTTGTTTATTAAACCTTAACTTTCCATCAAACATCACCCCTAGGCAACTTAAGATGATGAGCCAGGGGGCTCTGGTCCTGGTCAAAAGAAGTTAAGTTTGCCAAGTCTCCAGAAAGCACACACTCAGTTTTATTTTTGTTAAGATTTAAAAAGTTAAGTGCCAACCATGATTTGAAGTCTGTCAAACAGTCAAACAAAGGCTGTAATGACATCCCTCTCATTGGCTGCAATGGTAAGTATATCTGAATGTCATCTGCATAACAGTGAAAAGAAAGGCCATATTTCCTTAAGACACATCCGATCCTAATGGAAGTACAGTGAGAACAAAATGGGACCAAGCACAGATCCCTGGGGAACACCACAGGAAAGGATTGCTGAAGAGGATGAACAGGTACCAATATTAACAGTAAAACTTATATTGGTGAGATAAGATCGAAAGGGTGCAGAGCCACTTCAACCAGCATCATGCTAATCATAGAGCAGGCCTTTGACATGTTGAAGGTTCATTGCAGATCAATCTTCTTCAAGGTGCTGGAGATCCATCACATCTTTGTCCCTGCAGTCATCACAGCCCTTGTGGTGGTGCACAATATCTGTTTCAATTCAGTTTTATTTGTATAGCACCAAATCACAAGTCATCTCAACACACTTTACAAAGTAAGGTCTAGACCATTAGACCACATTATTATTATTATTATTATTGAAGAAAACCCAACAAATCCCCCCTTGAGCATGCACTTGGTGACAGCGGGGAGGAAAATCTCCCTTTAAGAGAAGAAACCTCTGACAGATCCCAGCTCTTGGTGGGCAGCCTTTTGCCTTGACCAGTTTGTGTGAGTGGATAGAGGAGAGCTGGTCTTGAGCTGGAGACTTGACAATTTGTCATCACCAGGTTTCTGAGCTTGCTCTTGGAGGAAGCTGCTTCTCAGCTGGCCAGTTTTTTTTTCAGAATGCTGTCTTGACCAGGGTCCTTCTATTGTTTGGCTGTTTAGAGAGATTCCACCTGGATATGGATTAAGAGCTTCCTGTCCAGACACAGCCAGAGGGTGAGATTGGGCCCACACACATCCACGGCTCTTAGCCTCAGCACTGGCTCACCACAAGGCTGTGTGCTGAGCCCCCTGCTCAACACCCTGTACACCCCCACCCACCATGGCAACACCATTGTAAAATCTGCTGACACCATGGTGGTGGGGCTTATCTCTGGGGGGTATGAGACTACCTACAGGAATGAGGTGGAGAGGCTGATAGTGTGGTGCAGAGAGAACAGTCTGCTCCTTAATACCTCAAAGACTAAGGAGGTCACTGTCAACTTCAGGCGGAAGAAAACCAACATCTTGCCACTGTATATCAGCGGGAACCGTGTGGAGAGGGTGCCGACCTTCCTCTTTCTGGGAGTCCATATTAAGGAGGATCTGACCTGGGGTGTGAATACCTCTGGACTGCTTAAAAAGGCCCAACAGAGACAGTACTTCCTATGGGTTCTCAGGAAGAACAACCGGGTCGGTCGTGCCTGAGGCCGACCCGGGGCCTTTCTGTGTGGAATGTGCATGTTCTCCATGTACTCCGGCTTCCTCCCACAGTCCAAAGACATGCAGCTTAGGTTGATTGGTGACTCTAAATTGCCCGTAGGAGTGCGTGTGTGGTTGTTTGCCTACATGTCAGCCCTGTGATAGACTGGTGACCTGTCCAGGGTGTAGCCTGCTTCTCACCCAATGTCAACAGGGATTGGCTCTAGTGCCCCTGTGACCTTATTCGGGAATAAGCAGTATAGATAATGGATGGATTGACTTGAATTCAGCTGTATGATTATTTTGGAGACTGTTGTTTGCTATATAGACAGGAGTTTCTGTTGTATAGCCTACACTTTCTGATGTACTAAATGGAGTAGATAAAATAATACAGACACCAGTATCATGCAGTAGCTGGGTGGCTAATTAACTGTTTCTACCATCATTTAACTGCTCTGCATCAAAACAAACTGAGAAATTAAACATTAAGATAAAACTGTGTTTAAAAAGTGTCACGGTTGGACTTTGCTTCCTGTGTTTGTTTTTTTCTGACAAAAAACTGACAAAGAAATCTGAATACCAATTTTAAAATGTTTTAAATAGATTATTTTAGGTGTCAGTGTCTAATATAAAATTTTTTAAAAACCTGCTTAGTCTGTATTCCAAGTGTTTTTATTTAAATTTCCATCACTGTATGTCAGTAAGAAAGTTTGCATTTGCAATATAGTTTTGTAGTGATGCATTTACAGATTACAGTAAATGGTAACTCAACCAGTGGCTAAAAGAAGCAGTCTATAAGGATAACTCATTATATAACCAGAAGATTTTATTCAGACATAAGATCAGAGAATAACTAGCAGATGTTTTATAAAGATAAAAAAATAAATATTAGACAATATTTTTAATGTGAAATATAACAAAAATGTACTTAATTTCAGAACAAGTTTGGTACAGTTAAAAGTAGGATTCAGAACAGTTGTGGGACAATAACAGTAAAAGTTAATTTCAAGCCCTGGAGTGACAATAAGGACCCTACCCTCTGTGTCCCTCTGAAAGTATACAATAATTTTAAAAAACATGCTTTGAAAAATATTATGACATGGTTAGTATTCTACATGTATTGTCAGCCCCTCTTCATGAATCCCAATATATATATATACTATATATACAATATAACTACTGCGAGCGAGTTATGTAAAAATTCACCCTGTACAGTTGTCGTTTTTTGTATCAGGCTGTAAACATATTTATTTCTCCTGTAAAGTTGGGCAGTTTAAGCTGGGAGTCTATGGGGATTGATTCCTTTGAGTCCCTATAGGGAAAGCCTCAAGTGGGCATTCAAGGAACTACAGGTTGTGGCATGTCCGCATTGGCTTCGTTTATCCGTTACTATTTAGCACCCCCTGGAAACAGTTCCATTGTAGTCTGTACTCTTTGCAGTGTTTGTGTATTTGGGTGTGTTTTCTATATTTGCAGCATGTTTGTGTATTTGATTGTTTGATTGAGCTGTGTATTTGGTAGTATTTTCTGTAATGTTTTGTTTATTTGCCGGTGTTTTCTCAAGGTGCAGTGCTTTGAGCTTTCAGGGCCACTGTATTAACTTGTATTTACACCACTGACTTCTATTTAGCCTCTTTAATTTATATAAATACAACAGTCTTTTTTACATAACCTGTATTGACACCATTTTGAAACCAATCAGATTAATTTAGAATCATGCTTTAAAAATCCTGGACAGGAAAACACAACAGTATCGTCACTGTCAAAGTCAAAGTAAATACAATATGCTGAACTTTGTGAATTTAATCATGTACTCTGACATTCATCTAGTTTTCAAAATAACACATAATATTGCATCCCAACCACTGAAAAGGTTTGTACAACTCTGAGCAGATGGCAAGAGTTTCAAGGTTAGTGGAGAGTATAGAATCCCTAAAAGGGACATTAAGGAACAGAATAATTTCCCTGTTGCATGAAAAACATGCCCAGATCCTCCTCTCTCTCTCTCTTTCTCATCAATCTAAAAAAATTGATTTTAATAAATCAAATTTAATTGTCAACATCAACTTGAACTTTGTATAGACATTCTATAGGCATGATTTTTTTAATCTTTATTTTATTAATTAATAAGTGGATTGTTTGGGTGGGAGGAGTGCAATGCATTGCATCTAGTGGGGGTAGGGTGGGATGGGGGATTGTATTTGTATTTGCTATAGTGACTGTATTTTTTATTATGGATTTTTATGTTTTAGTGGTTCATCATCATATAGTTGTATTTGATAATTTTACTATCACTCTGTGTTTTGTACCTGCCCATTGGCTGCAGATGGAAATTAGCTATTAGCTAACTTTGGTTCAAAACATCTTTTCTCATTCTATGAGTTTGTGGTTTCTTTTACGCACAGTCCCTGTGACTTGCTTTTAAGAGGTTTTACATGTGAATATAATGGAGTTTGCTTTTGTAAATATGTTAAATATGAAAATGCTCCAGACATTTTTATTATTACAAAACCCATCTCAGTGTTAAAATTCCTGAAGAAAACTTACCTATTACTGTTTACAGCTCGTGTAGATGTGATAGGAAAACTAAAGAATTGTTGCTCTATGTACTATGTCACTTAACTTACTCCTTTTTTTGTATCACATTTAATAAGGTTGCTTGCGGTCACCTGACAATAACACGTCACTGTTGGTCACAATAACCTGGCAGAAACAACATATTGATTTTGCAGGCCAATCTACACCTAGAGCATAATCCAACAACTCTTCTTCTTCTTCTTCTCAGTGTGAGGTAAAACAACCTGCAAAGCAGAAACCACCTTCCTCTTTCTGGGAGTCCATATTAAGGAGGATCTGACCTGGGGTGTGAATACCTCTGGACTGCTTAAAAAGGCCCAACAGAGACAGTACTTCCTATGGGTTCTCAGGAAGAACAACCGGGTCGGTCGTGCCTGAGGCCGACCCGGGGCCTTTCTGTGTGGAATGTGCATGTTCTCCATGTACTCCGGCTTCCTCCCACAGTCCAAAGACATGCAGCTTAGGTTGATTGGTGACTCTAAATTGCCCGTAGGAGTGCGTGTGTGGTTGTTTGCCTACATGTCAGCCCTGTGATAGACTGGTGACCTGTCCAGGGTGTAGCCTGCTTCTCACCCAATGTCAACAGGGATTGGCTCTAGTGCCCCTGTGACCTTATTCGGGAATAAGCAGTATAGATAATGGATGGATTGACTTGAATTCAGCTGTATGATTATTTTGGAGACTGTTGTTTGCTATATAGACAGGAGTTTCTGTTGTATAGCCTACACTTTCTGATGTACTAAATGGAGTAGATAAAATAATACAGACACCAGTATCATGCAGTAGCTGGGTGGCTAATTAACTGTTTCTACCATCATTTAACTGCTCTGCATCAAAACAAACTGAGAAATTAAACTGAGAAATTAAACATTAAGATAAAACTGTGTTTAAAAAGTGTCACGGTTGGACTTTGCTTCCTGTGTTTGTTTTTTTCTGACAAAAAACTGACAAAGAAATCTGAATACCAATTTTAAAATGTTTTAAATAGATTATTTTAGGTGTCAGTGTCTAATATAAAATTTTTTAAAAACCTGCTTAGTCTGTATTCCAAGTGTTTTTATTTAAATTTCCATCACTGTATGTCAGTAAGAAAGTTTGCATTTGCAATATAGTTTTGTAGTGATGCATTTACAGATTACAGTAAATGGTAACTCAACCAGTGGCTAAAAGAAGCAGTCTATAAGGATAACTCATTATATAACCAGAAGATTTTATTCAGACATAAGATCAGAGAATAACTAGCAGATGTTTTATAAAGATAAAAAACTAGATATTAGACAATATTTTTAATGTGAAATATAACAAAAATGTACTTAATTTCAGAACAAGTTTGGTACAGTTAAAAGTAGGATTCAGAACAGTTGTGGGACAATAACAGTAAAAGTTAATTTCAAGCCCTGGAGTGACAATAAGGACCCTACCCTCTGTGTCCCTCTGAAAGTATACAATAATTTTAAAAAACATGCTTTGAAAAATATTATGACATGGTTAGTATTCTACATGTATTGTCAGCCCCTCTTCATGAATCCCAATATATATATATACTATATATACAATATAACTACTGCGAGCGAGTTATGTAAAAATTCACCCTGTACAGTTGTCGTTTTTTGTATCAGGCTGTAAACATATTTATTTCTCCTGTAAAGTTGGGCAGTTTAAGCTGGGAGTCTATGGGGATTGATTCCTTTGAGTCCCTATAGGGAAAGCCTCAAGTGGGCATTCAAGGAACTACAGGTTGTGGCATGTCCGCATTGGCTTCGTTTATCCGTTACTATTTAGCACCCCCTGGAAACAGTTCCATTGTAGTCTGTACTCTTTGCAGTGTTTGTGTATTTGGGTGTGTTTTCTATATTTGCAGCATGTTTGTGTATTTGATTGTTTGATTGAGCTGTGTATTTGGTAGTATTTTCTGTAATGTTTTGTTTATTTGCCGGTGTTTTCTCAAGGTGCAGTGCTTTGAGCTTTCAGGGCCACTGTATTAACTTGTATTTACACCACTGACTTCTATTTAGCCTCTTTAATTTATATAAATACAACAGTCTTTTTTACATAACCTGTATTGACACCATTTTGAAACCAATCAGATTAATTTAGAATCATGCTTTAAAAATCCTGGACAGGAAAACACAACAGTATCGTCACTGTCAAAGTCAAAGTAAATACAATATGCTGAACTTTGTGAATTTAATCATGTACTCTGACATTCATCTAGTTTTCAAAATAACACATAATATTGCATCCCAACCACTGAAAAGGTTTGTACAACTCTGAGCAGATGGCAAGAGTTTCAAGGTTAGTGGAGAGTATAGCATCCCTAAAAGGGACATTAAGGAACAGAATAATTTCCCTGTTGCATGAAAAACATGCCCAGATCCTC